AGGCCAGCCTCTTCTCCGTGGTGGCCAGCAACAGGACAAGAGGCAACAGGCACAAACTGAACCACAGGCAGTTCCATCTGAACCTGAGAAAAAACTTCTTCACTGTGAGAGTGACAGAGCACTGGCACAGGTTGCCCAGAGAGGTGGTGGAGTCTCCTTTCCTGGAGATATTCAAAACCCGTCTGGATGCGATCCTGGGCAATATGCTCTAGGTGACCCTGCTTGAGCAGGGAGGTTGGACTAGATGCTCTCCAGAGGTCCCTTCCAACCTAACGATTCTGTGATTCTGTGATGAATATTCTGTACACAATACTCAAAGGAAAAAGAGGGCAGGACATGTGCTAATAATGAAATGGATGTAAAATTAAAGTTCTTTATGAGAAAGAGTCTGTGGCCAGACTACAGGAACAGTTTAGCCAACCCGTACAGCTATGCTCCCTAGTGCCTGTCTGAATTTCTAGGTGGCTCTGATAGCCTACATGGTACAACAGAATATTAATGATTCCCGCACTGAATTATAAAAACACAAAATTATAAAAGACCTTTCATATAACAGTACATAAACATGCCCTGTAAAAGAAGATGGACTAAAAGGGTAAAATATTTTGCCAGTGCTGGCTTTCCAGACTCTGGATAAGGAACAATTTTGCACCACTTCTCTTTCCTAACACCCATTGTGCCTTACATAATATGGAAACCTGTGTGGAGAAGAGTTGCCTTGAAGTGTTGCTACATGAGCAATATTAAATGCTATATGGTGAGTCTTATTGGCAGAAAAGAGGTAAAGCTTTTCTGCACCACAGCATCAAGCTTTTCCTGGCCACCCCTTCGGACAGGCATGAGGTATTAGTGTTCTTGGTCATGTCGAAACATCATCTCCAGTCTTCAAAGGTAGGTGTTAAAAATCTGCTGTCATTCAGTATTTCATCTTGGCTTAACATATTCTGAGAAAACACAAAGATATGTGAACCAGTAAAAATAGTCAGATAGAGGCCTATAGGTTTTTTTAAAGAAATCCAACTGTAATTAGATCTGATTCACAACAGAGGGGGTTAGAGCCACATGAAATTCTCTCTTGAATGCAGCCTAAAATAGCGAAACTATTATTAGCTTGAGGAAATTCTACAGAGATTGTGACATGTGACTCAATTATGTAATTGTTCATTATGCCTTTCAGTAAACTAACTTTTTTTTTTTTTTTAAATCATCTGCTATGGAGTCAGGAATCAATGCAGTGATTTCTCTTTCATGGCGTTTTAGTTCATACGAGTTATCATCAAGTCTATACCTCTTTGCAAGAATTTGCTTTGACTGAGGTCAAAGTGGTCAGTGGTTACGTGCCAAAAAAGGTCTGAAAAATTATGTATCAGTAATAGCCTTGTTTGCATTTAATTTAAGCATTAAAGTAGATGAACATCTGTCATGGGTCTAAGAGACAAGTAGAGTTCATGAACACTTACTTAAAATAAAACTAAATGAATCTTACAGTTCTGTGATTTACAAATTAAAACTTTTTTTTTTGACTGTGACTGTGTAGCCAGGCTATAAAGAGGTATGCAACAAGAATGCTGACCCACTTACTCTTTCTTAAGCACCACCAACAACAATCAAATCGCACTGAAAGCTTCTAGGATACATTTGTGACGTTAAAACATTCAATTGGTACATACCGTAAGATTGTTTATGCCTTGAGAGAGAGCCCCTATTTGCATTACCGTTCCTTCTGAATGTTCCATCTGTAAAAGTATTCAGCAACTAGATCAAATTAGACATTATGTGCAATTTTGTTCACTCTGCATGCATGTTTGGGAGGTATCTCTGACTTCACAAATGAAATTGCAGTACTTAACTTAAAAAAAAAAAAAAAAAACCCCTTTCTTTACTTTTCAATGTAAAATTTTAA